AAAAATTGTGAGTGAAGGGGAAACTCCCGTAAAAGTGGCTAGTCCCGTGGTACCTGTCCGTCAGGAGTGGAAACTCGATCCGCCTCTGCCCCATATTTTCCCTGGAACATGCTCCTGTCTCAGTTCAAGTCATTGTGGATAAATGATATGGACAGACTAGACTACACAGACGACGTTACTGACCTTAGTTAAACAGACGCCAAGAGTATCCAACTGCTAAAATCCAACTCCACAGAGATCTTTTTTCCTTTTCTAGTCCAGACTTGTGTTGTTTTTAAGCAGCAGTGTTTCCGGCGCCGGTGGTGCTGATGTAGAGACGGTACAGTGACAGCTTTATCCTTCCTTACAGGTGCGACGACCACGGTGCATCATGGGCACAAAAGCCGCTGTTAGCTCGGTGCCACTTGCAGCGGCTGCAGGCGAAAGGCGCACACGCGCGCGCCACCCAGGTCCGCCCTCTCCTCAGCACCAGTACACGCCATTTAAAGGCATACTGGTTAATAACGGCCCGCTCTTTCGCACTCACACACCTCTAAATATGGTCTTTTGCGCTTTAGGCTGGTAATAGGCTTTGTCAGGAGGTGTGGTGCTTCACTTTATCACCGTGGGTCAGCAGCATACCCGATCTTTCGGGCTTCACATGTGGAGAAGAGCATGATGTAAAGTGTAGCTGCACTCAGCCATTGATTTGTGCTGTGTTTACAGTGTAATCGATATCACTGATGACCTGACTGATTATGCATTACATTGTTTTTGTTTTAACCATAATTGAAGAATATGTGACAAAAAAATAAAATGCGTTCAGTTATATTTAAATTACCTTTTTTTTAATAACTCTCTTTATCGTGGCCTTTCTCTGAAATAAGAAGCTCTTCACTAAAGAGAAGCTTTCTGAGAGGAGGAGCCTGTCAGCAGCAGGCTAACAGTGCTGCTATCCAAGGTGCTGAAATGCCTGCAGACACCTCATGAAATGTTTCACCTTTATTATCTTTTGCAGTGCTCACTGAGGGAAATTAATTCATCACCTATATAATAACATGCTTCAGATTATTGGGCACATATATGTGGTGAGAGAAAACACACGTTTAACAAAATTTGTGTTAAACTCATGAAGGACATCCAACACTGTCAGTGCAGCAAACAGACCCACTGTTTATCATTTACTTTCTTCATCTTACTACAAGGATAAAATGTCATTTATGTAAAATACTAAAATCTTATCAGAAATAAAAAGCAAACCATCCAAAAATGAGTTGAACAGCAAGTTCTAATCATTCCAACTGTGGGAAGACCTGCCTGCAAAAGCTTTATTGTTAGATGAATAGATTTGAATAAACAGAGGTAGGCATGACATGGACATTTGTTTAATCTCCCTGTGTAACC